CTTTCCATGAGCATGGATTGTTCTTCCATTTGTTTGTGTCCTCTTTTATTTTGTTGAGCAGTGGCTTGTAGTTTTCCCTGAACAGGTCTTTCACATCCGTTGTAAGTTGGATTCCTAGTTATTTGATTCTCTTTGAAGCAATTGTGAATGGGAGTTCACTCATGATTTGACTTTTTTTTTTGTCTGTTATTGGTGTATAGGAATACTTGTGATTTTTGCACATTGATTTTGTATCCTGAGACTTTGCTGAAGTTGCTTATCAGCTTTAGGAGATTTTGGGCTGAGATGATGGGGTTTTCTAAATATACAGTCATGTCATCTGGAAACAGGCACGATTTGACTTTCTGTTTTCCTAATTGAATACCCTTTATTTCTTTCTCTTGCTTGATTGCCCTGGCCAGAACTTCCAACACTATGTTGAATAGGAGTGGTGAGAGAGGGCATCCCTGTCTTGTGCCAGTTTTCAAAGGGAATGCTTCCAGTTTTTGTCCTTTCAGTATGATATTGGCTGTGGGTTTGTCATAAATAGCTCTTATTATTTTGAGATACGTCCCATCAATACCAAATTTATTGAGAGTTTTTAGTATGAAGGGCTGTTGAATTTTGTTGAAGGCCTTTTCTGCATCTATTGAGATAATCATGTGGTTTTTGTCTTTGGTTCTGTTTATATGATGGGTTACGTTTATTGATTTGTGTCTGTTGAACCAGCCTTGCATCCCAGGGATGAAGCCCTCTTGATCATGGCGGATAAGCTTTCTGATATGCTGCTGGATTTGGTGCAGAAGGCAAGAAATAACTAAGATCAGAGCAGAAGTGAAGGAGATAAAGACACAAAAACCCTTCAAAAAAACAATGAATTCAGGAGCTGGTTTTTTGAAGAGATCAACAACATTGATAGACCGCTAGCAAGACTAATAAAGAAGAAAAGAGAGAAGAATCAAATAGGCACAATAAAAAATGATAAAGGGGATATCATCACCAATCCCACAGAAATACAAACTACCAACAGAGAATACTATAAACACTCTATGCAAATAAATTAGAAAGTCTAGAAGAAATGGATAAATTCCTGGACACTTACACCCTCACAAGACTAAACGAGGAAGAAGTTGAATCCCTGAATAGACCAATAACAGGCTCTGAAATTGAGGCAATAATTAATAGCCCACCAACCAAAAAAGTCCAGGACCAGACGGATTCACAGCCGAATTCTACCAGAGGTACAAAGAGGAGCTGGTACCATTCCTTCTGATACTATTCCAATCAATAGATAAAGAGGGAATCCTCCCTAACTCATTTTATGAGGTCAGCATCATCCTGATGCCAAAGCCTGGCAGAGACACAACAAAAAAAGGGAATTTTTGACCAATATCCCTGATGAACATTGATGCAGAAGTCCTCAATAACATATTATTTTTTAAAGTTCTTATTTAAAATATGTTTATTAAATAAATACTGTAGCAGTAACAGGGAACAAATAATTTTTAAAAAGAACTCCTAATCTTACCTGAATCTTTATAAAATCTATTTGATGATCTTTAGGCTGATTGTACTCAGCTGCCATGAGTTCTTCACTTTTCAATGATAATTGACTAGTTACCTTTGCTTAAAACTATTGTGCTTGCTGGTTTATTATAAAGGATATTAACAAGTGTCCACATGAAGAGATGTGTAGGGTAAGGTATAGGGAGGGGTATGCAGCTTCCATTCCCTCCCAGGGCATGCCATCCTTTAGGAACCTCTGCATTTTCAGCTATCTAGAAGCTTCTTAAACATTTTACACTTTTATATTGATAAAATATATATTTAAATATATTTTGGAGGCTGCAGGGAAACATTTGCATATCTTTACTTATGAAAAGGAAATGAACACCCCAGAAAATATAAACTTACTGGACATGTCACTGATCCAAAATTTGTAAAGCCTTTCTTCATGTTATATGTTCCAACACAGATTGTTACTTCACATTTACTTATTCATCCCCCACCTCACCCTTCTCCACAAAAAAGCAAGCAAACAACCTGTATAACTTCACAGTTGTCAATAGTTCCTTGCAATACTTCAGCTCTAAATCCTTTGTACCTCACCCACAGCTTTGTTGCAGATTTTCTTTCTGTAGTCTGAGAAACACTAATGGACTGTCTATGACACTAGCTTTACTTTTGCCCTCATGGACAAGAGAGAATGTTTAAAAGAGTTTATGTGGTATCTCCTTAATAGCATTCCTTACCAAACCAAGCAACAATGTAAATAGAATAAAACCTTGTTATAATGTATTACTTGACATCTATTTTAGCTACCATTGTGCTATCTGGAAGCAATCATTTGGTTGATTCATTAGCATTTACCTACTATTTATTAATTTCCTGACATTCTTCAGATATCATGTTAGGATGATGAAGACTGAAATGAAGACATGACCAATACAATCTCCCAGTTCCACTCAATGAGCACTGTATAAAAGAACTTTGTGATGATAGAAATATTCTCTGTCTGTGCTGGCTAATACAATAGCCACTATCCACATGTGGCTATTGAATGCTTGACATTTAGCTAGTGTGACTAGGGATCTGAATTGTTAATTGTTAATAACAGCTTTATTGGAATGTACTTCACATACCATATAATTCACCCATTTATAGTGCACAATCCAGTGATTTTTAGTGTATTCAGAGTTGTGCAAGCATCAGTCAATTTTAGAACATTTTCATTGCCCTGAAAAAAAACCCTGTATTCATTAACAATCACTCCCCATCTTCCCCCAGCTTCCACTGCTTTATGCAGCCACTAGTGTTTTTTTCTGTTTTGATGGGTTTGCCTATTTTAGTCATTTCATATAAATAGAATCACAATATTTGACCTTTAGTGACTGGCTAATTTAATTTCAATTTATTTAAATTTAATGATCACGTGTGGCTAGTGGCTACTATAATAAGCAAGTGAAGTGAAAGATCAAAGACAGATGCTTAAGAAATGCTGAAGTCTCAGGAGAAGAACATCCTGCAGAAAGGGTAGGAGCAAAACAGAGAGCTAGGAGATGAACCTGGACAGAGCCTGAAGATAAGACAGGTTCATGAAGAAGGGAATGGTTAACAGTACCAAATAATACAGAGGGGTCAAAAAGTATAGTTCAGTGTGATAGTAAGCATCCTGATGACAGAGGGCACTAGAATGTAGTCTTGGTGAGGAAGTGAGGGCAGGTGGCAATCTTATGTCATTATAGATGAAGGAAACAAAGGAACATTCAAGATAGCTTGAAAGCGGTGTCAGAATTGATCAAAATTCTGTTCAGTTGTTGTTAATGGTATTTTTATGGAGAACTGAGCCTGTATGTAGGCAGAAGAGAAGGATTCAGTGGAAATGAAGAAATTACAGATGATTAAGCAAGTTCTGGAGGATGCAGGTGGAGGTCGTCAGCCCAGGAGTAAGTCCAGTCAAGAAAAACAGTCTTTTTCTCAAAGGGAGGAGGAAGTGAAGAAAAAATAGGTGGAGATACAGCGCAGTTTTTACATAGAAAGGATGACCATTCAAATAGCTCATTTACTTTGGGGAAGTAGGAATGAGGCCTTCTGAGGGTAAAATTTGGTTCCTGTGATTTCATTGTGATCATATGTGGAGAAGGAAGTGCTAAAACATCCTCCAGTGGGGCTAGGACTGGGTGGTTAGAGTGTCTGTCGCTGTCCACAGGAACCTGTCACCAAAAAAAGGAGAGATATTTTTAGGTACATAAGCCACATGACGTCCAGAGAGATACTGATGTGTCCATTTTTGCCACTAAAATTAAAGAGTGCCCAAAATATTACATTTGAGTTCTTGAAAGAAGCGATGTAGCTCCATGAGGTCACTTTCCTTCCCTCTCCCCGTTTGTTTCCTTCCTTCCTTCCTTCCTTCCTTCCTTCCTTCCTTCCTTCCTTCCTTCCTTCCTCCCTCCCTCCCTCCCTCCCTCCCTTCCTTCCTTCCTTCCTCCTTTCCCTCCCTCCCTCCCTTCCTTCCTTCCTTCGCTTCCTTCCTTTCTCCTTCCTTTGCTTCTCCCTTCTTTCTATCTATGCTTCTTACACTTTGTAGAAACATAATGCTTCTTGCCTTATAATGCTCTTTGCCCTACAGGGAAAAAAAATGAAAATAAAACAAAAAATTCTTAATTGATCCAAACCATAATGGATATAGTATTTTATTTTGTACATTATAATGAATTTTCTTTATTTTTTTGAATCACTCTTTTTTATTTCTTTGACAAATGTTGTAACAGCGGAAGAGCTAGGAAATGCTTAGAACGATCTAAATGAAACCAACTATCCATATATAAAAGAAAAAGGGCCAGGCACGGTGGCTAATGCCTGTAATCCCAGCACTTTGGGAAGCCGATGTGGGCAGATCTTCAGCCCAGGAGTTTAAGACCAGCCTGGGCAACATATCGAGACCCCATCTCTACAAAAAGGTCAAAATTAGCTGGGCGTGGTGCCATGCACCTGTAGTCCCAGATACCCAGGAGGCTGAGGCAGGAGGATTGCTTAAACCTGGGAGGTGGAACAGTAAGCTGAGATCATGCCATTGTACTCCATCCTGGGAGCGTGGGTGACAGAGCCAGACCCTTTCATCAAATATATATATACACACACACACAGACACACACACACACATATATACATACGTGTGTGCATAGATGTGTGTGTTTGTATATAGATACATATATATTGAGAGAGAGAGATCTATTCTGTGATGATGGAAATATTCTGTCTGTGCTGGCTAATTCAATAGCCACTAGTCACATGTGGCTATTGAATGTTTGACATTTAGCTAGTGTGTATATATGTAGTATATCTTTTGCGGAAGATATACTATATATATACATATATGAAAAAGATACAAATTAATCGTTATTGAATTAATAACATTGCTTTAGAACAAGCTTTCTATATAGATATTTTAGAAATTAAAGTAAACTTTTGTGGTCTTGTCAACATATAAATAATATTTCCCATATATTTATTTCTTTTAGGCTTTTAAAACCAAGGATGGCTATATCGTAGTTGGAGCAGGAAATAACCAGCAGTTTGCCACTGTGTGCAAGGTAATCTATAATTATTGGGATTGGTCTATGATCTTGTACAAAGCCAGGGAAAATTCAGTTTAGCCCAGGTCATAACCAACTTAGGCCCCCTGTGTTAGCACCTAAAAGTATAGGATTTTCATGCTTATAAAGGATAAGGCAGAGTCCAAATTAGCATTCTGTGTTTTTTTGTGGTATCTGACTGCATTTTAAAATGAAGAATCATAGTAGCTTAAATTGTCCTAAAACTTGACCTGCCTAGCAGTCCAAACAAAATGGGCGAAAAAAAATCATTTTTAAAGGGATTTTTAATACTGGTATTTTTTTCTTTTTTCCCCTCCCTCCTTCCCTTCCTGCCTTCCTTTCTTCCTTTCGTTCTCTACCTTCTTCTTTTACTATATCAGGTTAATTGGACCCATATATAGTTAAGCTACTCCCATATTTATTTTATTTACTACTGGAAATTTTGAAACTGTTTTTCAACTTAACCTTTATTTAATGAGTACCTTTCTGAAGAATTTGTTTCAAGGTTTTAGGAATTAAGATTATATTAAAATTGTTCCTTCTCAACAAGGCCTTAAAATAAAGGCCTTGGAATCATTTTAAGTAATTTATTCTTAGGGATATTCTAAACTTGTAGCATTTATTAGACTTAGCGATCTCGGAACACTGCAACCTCCACCTCCTTGCTTCAAGTGATTCTCCTGCCTCAGCCTCCAGAGGAGCTGGGATTACAGGTGCACATCACCATGCCTGGCTATTTTTGTGTTTTTAGTAGAGATGAGGTTTCACCATGCTGACCAGGCTGGTCTTGAACTCCTGACCTCAAGCGATCTGCCCACCTCAGCCTCCCAAAGTTCTAGGATTACAGGTGGAACCACTGCACCTGGCCTACTAGACTTTTTTTGTTTTGTTTTACTTGATGTTTATATGAGTTACCAAGACTTTGGTGTTTTGTTTTAATTTTAGAACTTAGGTATCTGTTCATTTTTTCTAGTTTTAATCCAGGGAATGTTTATTTTTATTTTTCTTAAATATATCCAAAGGCCTTACCTGTTAAGGATTTTTTTCTTTCTTTCTTTCTTTTTTTTTTTTTTTTTTTGAGAGACAATCAGTTTTTATACTAAATTTTACCATGAGCTTTCGGTGTTATTAAAGATGACTATGAGGGCCAGGTGCGGTGGCTCACACCTGCAATCCCAGCACTTTGACAGACCAAGAGGTGGGCAGATTGCCTGAGCTCAGGAGTTCGTGACCAGCCTGAGCAACATGGTGAAACCCAGTCTCTACTAAAATACAAACAGCCGGGCGTGGTGGCCATGCGCCTGTAGTCCCAGCTACTCAGGAAGCTGAGGTAGGAGAATTGCTTGAATCCAGGAGTCAGAGGTTGCAGCGAGCTGAGATTGCACCATGGCACTGGAGCCTAGGGACAGAGGGAGACTGTGTCTCAAAAAGAAGAAAAAAAAAAAAAAGATTCCTATGAAATCCTGAATCTCATTTACTGTAGTTAACTTATTATGTACAAAAATTATTTATTACTGTGCCTCTTTTATATGAGAAGTTAGGGAGCAGAGCTAAAAACCACAGCAAAGGGGTGGGAAGGACCATGGAAAAGGTGACAAATGGAGACAGTTCTGATTGCAGGAAGGGCTGAAACATCTGAGGTGGGAAAGAGGGGAGCCTTTTAAATGGTGACTCTGAGTAAATGTAGGGAAAATCGATTCAAACATTTGATCTGGGATCAAAGAATCTTTATTATGAACGGTCAATGTTAAAAATATGAAACATACGGAAGCTGTTGCCTGTGAAGTCATTTGCGTACTCTAACTGCAGAGATGTAAAAGCCAGTTCATTCCTATAAACGAGTACAGATTTTCTTCCTGGGCCATATGTTTTGGAGTTTTCTTTCTCCAGAAAGTGGTGGGGTTGGGGGTGGGAGGACCTGGCAGCGAAAATTACTGCTTGACATACTCTTTAGTTTTGAAAATAACTGTACTGAATTCTTTGTATTTTTGATTCATTACTGCTGATCAAGTTAACACTTTTGAACTTCCTCATAAATATCCATAAGAACAGTTTTCAACAAAGGTTCTTATTTCAAAGCAGACTATTTGTCAGAAGTTTTAGTATTGGAATATGACTTATTGTTATGGTGTGTTATAAAACATTGCTTATAAAGGAGACTATTGGAGGGCTGTAGGAATGGCACACTTGACCTTGATTTTCCCATATGAGAGTTGGGAATGATAATCCCTGTTATGAGCCATTAATCCAATGTCTGTAAAACTCTTTGAGATTCTCAGAAGATTTATGTGTACAGGATTCTTGAGTTATTTACATTATTAGCTAGGCATCCTGTGTGAATGTTGCAATCTGATTGACTTTTTCAAATCTTTGTAATTACACCCTTACATGTAAACTTGTCCTAAACACCTTGTTATCTAAGAAAAATCATCTGTTCCTTCATTCTGATGCAAGGTTTTCTTCCTTCCCAGTTATGTGTAGTGTGTGGGTTTCTTCTGGTTTTTTTTACTCATATTTATTTATTACTGAGGGCCTTGTTATTCAAACCGGGCTTATAGAAGATGGGGTTCCCAGTTCTTCACAGTGAGCCGCTCAAAACTGTTTTTTTGTCAAGTACACTCCATCAGGAAAGATGGGACAGCTTTACTTCCTGGGGAGAAATGTGGCAGTACTGTCTGTGACAAATGAATGGAATTGACTTATGCTTAGTCTCTTTCCAAAATAGAATTCATATAGTGGTGGATTGATAATTCTTGGGGAGGAGCTGTATTAGCGAGCTTTCATTGTAAGGAGTTGGATGAGAGTAAGAATGTTGGGTTCCAGTGTGAGGTTCCAGAAAATCTTCTTGTGTATAAAGTGAATCTTGTTCATAACAAGTCCTACTTAATGTTCCTTACCATGATACGGCAAAGTAAGAAAGTGAGCATATGTAAGCTATTTTAAGTCGATGGATGCCACCCCAATGGGTATTCCTATATGAAATATTGAATATTGACATCCTTTTGAAAGTAATGTAGATCGAAGGCTTCTTTTGTTGGAGAGACTATACATTGGTTCTCAATGTAGTATGCATAGGAACGTTATTTAACACTATTCCCAAAGATTTTACTTTAGTATGTCTGGGTGAGATAGAGGAAACTTCAGTTTTAAGAAGGACTGTAGGTGATTTTGGAGCAGGTTTTTAAACCGCCTGCTCCAAAATATAATATATCCAAGATATAATGTTTAAGGCCTACTGTAAGTCTTGTTAGTAGGTAGGTGAACACTGTCAAGGTCCTTCTGAAAGGACACAAAGATAGATGTATACCCACCCCCCCCCCCGCTACACCCTTTGTTCTGCTCTCTAATCTTTGCACATACCAGAGATTTCGTAAGTTCTGTAATTACCTGTTTTTCTGCATGTACCAGAGATTTTGTTTGCACATACCAGAGATTTTGTTTTGCACATACCAGAGATTTCGTAAGTTCTGTGAGTACCTGTTTTTCTGCACGTACCAGAGATTTTGTTTTGCACATACCAGAGATTTTGTTTTGTACATACCAGAGATTTCGTAAGTTCTGTGAGTACCTGTTTTTCTGCACGTACCAGAAATTTTGTAAGTTCTGAGGCAGTCACAGATGTGTTTAAGTAAGATAAAACTCTTGCCCGCCATAAACCTGCTCTCATAAGTTGAACTGAAATATCAGAAATGGCGGGGAACCAATCATAGTTAGCCAAATCGCCTTGTTCAAACACTAGCCAATCATATATCTGATTGTATAATAATTCTATGCCCACTTTTCTTAGACTATATAACACTGCTCGGAGCTCAGTGGGGGAGCTCTCCTGCCCGTCTCATTTTCTGCGAGCGAGGAGTTCCAGGTTCGAACCTGTAATAAAGATCCTTGCTGCTTAGCTTTGACTCTGGACTCTGGTGGTGTCTTCTTCGGGAATAAGCGGTCTGGGCATAACAAATGAGGCACAAATCCGGGATTTCCCAAGCCCACCAGACCCCCAAGTCAATGGATCTTAATCTGTGGAAATAGCCCGGCTTTGTCACTGTGTCTGTCTTTGTCTCTGTCTGTCTCCCTGAAATTTCGCAAAATCCGTAATCTGTAATCTGTAGTGGTCTGTTTTGTAATTAGCCGCAGTCTTGGCCAGACCCGTGCTAAGGAGCAGCCGCTTGGGACTGGTGGGACGTCCCCAGTGCCCATCTGGGGGCCTCATCCTTAGTTGCCCGTCTGACTGGTCGGAGTCGACCTGCGCTTCATGAAGTCTTCGTTCTCACTGTCTGTCCGTTATTAAGTGTTAAGTGAGTCCAAAGCGAAACATAAAACCTTTTCTTCCCCCTTCAGGACCGGACCTGTCCGGATACTCCCCTCTGCTTCACACTCATTTCGTCCTCCTTCTCTTTGTAGAGCAGTCCAAGATGGCTAACAACCAGAGCACGCCGCTCCTCACTCCACTTATTACCAATTTTAAGGATGTAAGGCTCGGGAGCTGGCAAGCGTAGAACTAACGAAGGGGAAAGCTAGTTACTTTTTACCGTTCGGGAGTGGCCCTCTTTCGGCTTAGGGTGGCCCTCCGGAAGAGAACTTTCTGTCTCTCTGTGTGCAAGGTAAAAACTAAAAGATTTTCCTGCCAGGGCAGTCAGGACATCCTGATCAAATTCCTTATATTCTAGTGTGGCAGGATCTTGTGGAAAATCCACATACAGGCTAACTCCATTCATCCCTAGGCCCTGCAAAGTCTAGTAATGCACGACCTACAAGACAAAGGACTCCCTCTGCTCCCTCGGCCCCTGTGCTGCCAGGCCAGACCCCTAACGTTGAACCACAGCACACCAATATCTCTAGCACCTTATCCGCAGGACCCAATTCCCCAAGGTGGGTAGCTACGTAGAAGCCGAGGCGCAGGAGCGGCCGAGAGCGAAAGTAACCCGGGGCCGGCCGACGGGCGAGGCCGCGTGCAGGCGGGAGCAAACTTCCCGACTCCTGACTCCACCGTAGACCTGCCT